CTCTTTTTCCTCTCTCCCTCTTTTTCCTTCCCCTCCCTTGAAAGAGCCTGAGGCTGTTAGGAATGGTGGGAGTTGAAGTCCAAGACCTCTGGAAGGAGGGCCCAAGTTTGCTCATGCCTTGTCTACAGGGAAGTGCAAAAAACATTTGTGCATTTGATGACTGCCAACAACTTTTATGTATATGGCCAATTTCTATTGAATCAAGGAATCTTCCAGTGCATCTCCACTGTAGAATGAATGCAGCTTGACACTGCTTTAACTGCCATGGCTCAATGCTATGGAATGATGGGACTTTTAGATTGACATTAAGTTTAGCCTTCTCAACCAAAGAGCACTGGGACCTTACCAAACTACAATCTCATGATTCCACAGCACTGAGCCATGCCAGTTGAAAATGATGTCAAACTTTATATGTTCTACAGTGCAGATGCACAGTTTTTGCTGTACTTGGCAATTGCTTGAAGCTGTGCTTTAATGAATGCTTTTATTGTTTTGGTCTTGGAATGCTCCCATAGTTCCATGCGGATACAAGGTCAGGGTCATTTAGATATGTCTTGCTGTGAAAATTTAGAAAGAGTGAAAAGCTGTTGCTTGAGCAAAATTTGACCAGCCAACTAATGCCAGCGTGGGTGGCAGAGAGAGTAATATGTTACATAGCAAGTTTCTTTAAGGGTTAGATTAGTGTGTTTGCTTTACGAATGATGGCCAGGCACCCTTTTCTGCACCGACTATGAGTAAAAAGCTTAGTTTTAATCTTCCCATGCTGTGTGCAAATTGGCTTTAGTGCACTAGACACAAATCCATTGTCCTTTTGGAGGACACCCTTTTAAATTGGAGCCCCATCTACATTGCGATATAATGCACTTTTATAATGCAGTTTAACCGCATTGAACTACATTCTGTGGCAGTGTAAACAATGCGTCGATTTGCAACAATGCCAGGGAGTTAGAAGGCTGGCAGGTGTCCCTGATGTATGAGAGATTTACCCCATTTGATAGTTGGAAAGCTTTTATTTGATGTAGCTGGAATGAGAGGGCCAAGATTTGGGGAATGGGCCCTTCATAAAATCATGATTCATATAAAGTATGAATTTGAGCAGTGCGTTAATTGTGAATGGTTAGATTATCCAAAATCAGTGTTACTTCCTGATTGTCAATCCTAAATGATATGCAAAATTTAACTGTACCATATTGCTTGTGAAGTCTTGGCTCTGCCTTTTCCTCTTCTCTGCTTTAGTTTCCCATTTATAGGTTTTCCCAATAGTGTAGATAACTTACTTTGTATTAGTTTTTGGGTGGAGTATAAAAACCCCTAGAAGCCAGCCTTAGTTGGTCTATTCCATTTGCCTGTATAGAGCTCCTTTACTGGGCTCCTCCTTTTTTCTGCAGCAGAGCTATCGTGAACAGAGGCCTGGGTATTGTTGGGTAATCCTAGGCCCAATCAATCCAAAAACAGGCATCCTTAGCACCTGCATTCAGCTGTATTCTTATACCATCAGTCTCAGTGACAACAGAAGCTTTTGACTAGCCTAAGCTTCATAAGAAAGAAGATTGAGACAGCTTATAAGCAACAGCTTGTAAACCGTCGCTTTGCACCAGAGGCAGAAGACTCCAGAGAGATGACTGCAGCCAGCAAAAACTCGCTTTGTAATGTATTGTTTTTTTAGTTACCTTATGGTAGTCCGAGGTGGAGTTAATCCTTTATTTATCTTGTTTTCAGTAAACGCATTTGGTTATCTTTTCACCTTGCCTAAAGTGCCTCTGTGTGTTAAGGATCTCAGTCTTAACAGAAGGTATACAGATAGCCCCTGAGTAAAGCCATATAGTTTTTCCCCAAAGGCTCGGGCATGCCATCATATTGCTGTTTTCAAAACCTGGTTATCCCAGTTTGTCTTGAAACTCAGGCAGCAACAATGTCTTGGGCCAAATTTGATGGTGGTATTCACTAAATATGCTTATCTCCTATCTAGCTTGACTATTCCATGCCTGCTGAGTAACTGCTATGTTGGAACAGTGGTTCTAACACAGGCATTGGCAAAGTTTTTTTTGCTTTGGGCCACATTGTGGGTCAGGCCAGGCTGGGAGGGAAGGGGGCCGGGCACATGCTGGGTGGGGAGCGCCTGGGAAAGGATGGGGCCAGGAGGGAGTAGGGCAGAGCCCAGATCATCATCAGGTTGTCCTCCCAGAATAAGGGCAGGTGTGCTCGTCCCATCCTTTTGCTGCAAAGTGTTGTGGACTGCTCTTCTGATTCTGAGGGAGAAGGAGGACACGTGATAGAAGAAACGGCACTTGGGGATTTGGGGTTGAGTGGTGAGGAGGTAGATGAAGGAGGAGAGGTGGCAGATATAATCAGAAATCCTTATGGTTTCTGGAACGTTGAAGGGAGAAAGAGGGCAGAAGAAGATCAGTTAGGCTAGCAGAAAAAATGTTGAGCAATCAGATCGTACCCTAAGGGTAGCTGTGCTTGGAAGTTCAGGGCTATAAATTCGAAGCAAAGTCAGGGGCTCTGTGCTGGCTGCAACAGACTTATTTTCAGGGGAGTTCCTATTACCAGCACTGATTTGTTCTCTGAAGGCTCTTGTCGTTTGCAACTTGTGTTTACCAAAGACTTTGTTTTGCTGTCTGATGTGAAGACTTCTGTTTTATGTTACTTGAAGAGTGTGTATTATTTTTATTTTGGCTGAAGTAAAGCCTTTTTTATTTGCTTTCGCTTGTGTCTAAGGCTGTTTCTGGCGTAAAACTGGACAGGAAGAAGGCGGGACACGCGGCAACTGCCCCAATCCTCCTTCCCATCTTCCTCCTCCTATCCTCGGGCTGTCCTCTTGGCATTATGCTGGGAGTAGTAAAGACAGGCAGCAGCTGAGTGTGTTCCAGAGGACTCTCAGCCACTGCATGCCTTCCTTGAGCTGTCCTCCTGGCATAAGAATGGAGTCACTTGCATCATCCTTATGCCGAGAGGAGGTTGAGACACAGAGTGGCTGAGAGCACTTCAGAAGGCTCTTGGCTACTACGTGCCTTCCTTCCCCATCTTTTTGGCATAAGGACATGGCGAGCCACATTATCTGCTTTGAACTAATAATAATAAATAATAAAACTTTATTTATACCCCGCCACCATCTCCCCAAGGGGACTCGAAGCGGCTTACATGAGGCCAAGCCCAACAACACATCAGTAAAAACAACAAAGCAATAAGCAAATACAACAATACAATTAATATAACTTACATATAGACCAGGGGTCCTCAAACTAAGGCCCAGGGGTCGGATGCGGTCCTCCAAGGTCATTTACCCGGCCCTTGCTCAGGGTCAACCTAAGTCTGAAATGACTTGAAAGCACACAAGAACAACAACAATCCAATCTCATCAGCCAAAAGCACGCCCACACTTCCTATTGAAATACTAATAAGTTTATATTTGTTAAAATTGTTCTTCATTTTAAATATTGCATTGTTTTAAGTGTTTTTTGCACTACAAATAAGATACGTGTAGTGTGCATAGGAATTCATTCATTTTTTTTTCAAATTATAATTTGGCCCT